ACAACACAAGCTGGTATAGTTACTCTGTTTCTCTTGCCAAGTGGTTGACCTTTCCTGACCCAACAAACAAACTGACGATAAGACATTAGTCTGTTTTGCCTGTGAGTTAGTACGTCTGGAGCTCTACCTCTATAGCGCTTGTACCTAAAAATACTTATGAAGCTTGTTTCGAGAACAACCGGGTTCAGGCAAACTGTTCATAAATCGATATTGTCACTGATACATTCACTCAATTCAATCTAAACATAGAAGAGAGTAAATTCGTGGCAACATAGACATTCCGTCAATAATGGCATAACTATATACATGTATTTAGTACATGAACACCAATCAGTGTTAAACTGGCGAGGGTTGCTAATGGTATCATGATGTCGGGAAGTTTCTGCAGCTTCCATTTCCTGGAGCTCCTCTTCAGTATACTCTGGTTCTAGTGCGTACCCAAATTGACCACACCGGTCAAAATCAGTCTCTCTTAAGGGACTGGACACACTTTTAGTACTATCACTCTCTTTTTTTTCTTTTTTGAGCACTCAGACTGTAATTTACATTTACACTTTTTTATTGATATAAAAAAACAAAAATAAAGAAAACTTTTTGAAAAGTGTTACAATTATTTCTTATATCATTACTAATAAAATTTTCCACATATAATAATTAATCTTATTTTCTTACTTTTTGAAAGAAGAAAAATAACAAAGTAGTAACGTAACATGTATGTAAGTTAGTATTAAAGTTTAGAAAATAGCATAGTTGTGTTTTACAGATGCGTAGAAGGAAGAAAGTGAGAAAACTCGACCAGAGAATGTTTAGGAGATATATGTTTTAAAATGAAAATAGAAATAAAAAATAAAAAGATATCACAAAGAGATAACAATAAAAAAAACCCCACAAATTATTAAATTTTACTTGCTATATTCATATTTATTTTCAGTTTCGGCATTTCCACCATAAAAACCTAAGTACTATCACTCTCCGAACAAGTTTTTAGTTATGATTTTATGATTCATTTGTAAACCATATATACACTGTCATATAAAAACAAGCACGCTCAAATCAAAAGAGAAAAAATATGTGAGTAAAAGTAAATTGGATCAGCAAAATTAACAACCTTTGATCTCGAGTGTATTGGTAACTAATTAATGTGTTTTTATAGTATAGCTCCTTCCATTATCCAAATATCAGATAATCTATATTATTTTATAAAATAAACCCTCCCGACCTCACCGATATATAATGCCAAACGTTAAAAGTATTACAGGTTTTAAGTCATTAAATGAATTATAAATTACAGTAATTAATCATAAATGCGCTCTTTATTCGTACATATTCTAGGTTCTATTCCGTTCATGTAAAGTTGACTTTGGATGGTTTCCGATATTAATTAACACCATTTGGTCTCGGCTTTCAAATGTCTAAATTTAAGTGTTCACGTACATTTTTGCCTAATAAGGACAATCAAAATGCTTTGGTAAAACTAGTTCTATTTTCACTTTTTTTGTGAGACAAATAAATGATAAGAGTGTATATCAGTTCATTCTGACACCTGAATTTAATTTCCTGACTTAACCGAAAATTGTTCATCTCTTAGTTATTAACTAATTAAATTCAAATAAATAATAGCACCAAATATAATTAAATCATTCCACGGCGATCTATTTGTATTTGTCACCACCTTGAATATATATTTTAACTTTGTGTATTAAACGCGATCTCCTGTCTTATAGTCCACTGATTCTAATTGACAGTCACACCTGCACGGTGTGCCCTAGAGGCCCGGCCAATTGCCGATCTTCAAATAACATTTTACCTTTTTACAAGCCTTCCACGAGTATTGCCAGAGAATAATACACACATCGTATAAACCTAGTCATAGCGTAAATAGTAAAAGGTCAATAAGCGTACACCTATATTTGGTCTTTACAGTTTAAGTTATATACTTTAATGTTCACGTTATCAGTCGGAAAAAGCAAATATTAAAAAAAAAATATATATATAATTTTTTGTGCTGTCAACAAAAATAAATCGAAATATATGCGATAAATATAGAAAATTTTATCTCATGAAATTCAATGTAAAAAGTTGCATGTCTGTCCGTTTTATTTTCTTTTTATCGGATGGTCATAAGCTATCAAAATTGGTCATCGGTGCGCTTATGATTACGTAAAAAATTTGATTAAAGACCAAGACTTTAAATGATTGTATTTTAAATCCCGGCATGCAATACCAGGAGAAAACGTCACGTACTACAGGAAGTAGTCGATAATTTATTTTATTAATTATTGATTTTCTTCTTTACTACTGCACATATAGCAATAAAACTTTGTGAATATGTATTTCATGTTATAATGAACATATTTAAACTATAAGTAAAAAATCGCGAATTTTCCCTTTAATATTGTTATGTAATATATCAAACTACTTTTACACTAAGTAAATTGATAACAGAGTGCAATAAAAAAAGGCCTTTTAAATTTTCCTAGCTCTCTACTTAAAAAGTACTTTTATTTGTGAGATACCAATTTTTGTGAGTTACCCTAACCAGGAATTTAAGTTGTTAATGCAATATAGCAACTAGTTAACAAGTCAGGACATGAAAAAATACCCAATGCAGATCTTAACCCATGGATACGAGCAATTCAATATATACTTGAGAATTCATTGAATACCAGCACTTACACAAGGAACTGTACAACTGCAGAGAAGATTATACCCGTGAAATCACAACACAATTTAACTGAATGAGTTTTTAACTTTTATTTCTAATGATGAAATGTGAAAATTAGTTTACCATTTTCATCATATTCGTATTACACATTTTGTGTCAAACCTAGATATTACAGCCAAATATTTCAAGTGATCAATTGCTTATTGATTTTTATATGTTTGCTAACAATTGAATCTTTTTTAAGCATGTTTGCCAATTTGTCATGGGGTAAGGGTATATATATTAATTGTGAGAAGAATTGCTAACAACGAAGCTGATAATATTTAGAAAACTAATAGCCTAGGCTTGCAATTGAATTGCAATTGAATCCATACTTGAATATGTACTAAACTCTTGTATATTGGTGGACTTCATCTAATGTACAGTGTGTTGTATTTCCAGTGCCTTATGTCAGCCATCTTTTATACTGCAGTCCAATTGGATTGTTTTTTCTAGGCGCCATATCTGAAATAAGTCCATGCCATTCAATCTTTCATTATGTATAGTTTGATGCTTTTACCTTTAAGTTATGATATCAGCTGACTATAAACAGTAGATATAAATGCATGGTTTAGATGTACTTTCGGATCTTTTGCCTGTGAAAATTGGGATAATATGGGAGTGGTTTATTGTTACAAATTAGAGCAGCTGCAGGTTGAGGCAACCAGAATTGTCCCAGGTCCTCCTATTTTTATTAGTAATAGAACTATTTACAATGACATTGGTTGGGAAACTCTAGCTGAACGAAGAGAAAGGAGGAAGTTACAATGATCTTATAATAGTCAACATATAATGCACTAAGCTATCTTTGCAATTTAATTCCACCAACAATCCAAAGTACAGCTGTTTACCCCATACGTAATGAGAATGATATAATATACACGTTTGTAGACTTTCATCGATACAATAATCTTTCCTACCTGCAACTATACGACTGTGTAATAACCATAATGTGATTGACGTTTTAAGTAAATTCAAAACCGAATGAAAACATATTTAACTGAATTCAAAAGCCCAAGTACCTAGACATTATGAATTTGTCATTCGTAAACTCAACATTATTTTGACTCAACACGATGCTCAGCTTCTTATTTGAATTATGGGCTTAACAGAGGAACCAAACTACTTTCAAATTTCTTTTTGTCGCTGTAATGCAAAGCGTACAGATTCGTATCACATCTTTGTTTAATGTTTTAATAATGCGAATATAAGAATCAAACTATATAATAATCTTGAATGGTTGCCAGAGAACTCTCCACTAACTGTAAACATCTTAACCTCCGATGATTCGTCATTTACTAATGATCGATGAAAATGAAAGATTTTTAAAGAATGAATATGAATTTATGAAAGAGTTGAAGAGGTTTCTAGTTGTATAATATAGCACACAAAAGTGCATATACATGTATATTGTGCATAACAATTCACATCATCACGCACCATTTTTGACATGTCCAATATATATAATGTATAGTGTGCAATAATGCTTTATAAATATTCTATTGTCATAAGAGAAGACTTTATAAACTTGGTTTGTGTCTCATCCCCTTTGCATATTTAAGCAAATAGAATATGTCAGCTTAACTTTTGGTTGAAATAAAGGAGATGTTTTGCTACTGCTGGTTAACAAAAAGTCTCCTCCGGTTTCTTATAAATGTATGGGTTACTTCACACTGGTTCCAAAATTTATGATTTTGATTACTTTTAAACAAAATTAACTGAAAAAAGTCATAGATGAAAGCATGACCTTGTCCTGTGTCGCTGACCTCATGTTGTTTTATATAGATAGACATATGCCATAAAATCAAAACAACCTAGGTCTCTATAACTTTACGTAACGGATTACGAGTTACAATAAAATTTCACTTATGTCGAATACATTTACGGAAATCGCTTTTGTTAAAGTTCCTAATAACTAATTTCATGTGTGTATATAGCAACTTGTAAAACAAAATTCTTCGTTTCTTTCATGTTTCCAAATTAGTAGCAAAAACAAACAACCGTGTTTGGTTAAATTGGAAGAAATGCAAAAGTGCAATAACTCTTTGACATCAAATGCCTAATATGTACTCGACATCTTTTAATATCACAATACGGAATAAGAAGAAAATAATTCAGCAGAACAAATAAAATAAAAAGGTTATTCGACCACAAAAGTTGAAATATCCCAAACCTTAGAACTGACAGCAGCATGGACATTTAGTCAAGTTTGAAACATTAGTTTAAACAATAAGCAAGTCATTTGTATTTTATACTGCAACTCATTTATAAAGAAATCTTATTTTTCAGGCTATTAAGGGTCTTGACAATTCACAACCTACTGCTACAAGTTTAAAGGATGCAAAAACAAAGATACTGGATAACTCAATAGCACAAATGTTGTCAACCCAAATACAACTCAACACAAAGGTTTCTAGACTTCAAGATGAGTTAACACAGATGAATGAAAATATAGAAGACAAAATGAAAGTAACAGAAAGTAATTTAGAAATGGAGATTAAAGAAAGTAATGAAAACATACATATTTTATATGAACGACTGAATACCAAGGAAGAACAAAGGGTTGAAAGAGATTTAAAAGAATTTCAGAATTGGCAACAGCTTCTTGCTTCAAAATTCACTAGTATGGAAACCATTGTCAAGGAAAGTGAAAAGAAGAAAGAAGCAGTAGAAAAAAATGTGAGCTCATTTTTCAGTCAGATTCAAGATTATGTTGGCAAACATAGAAAAAGAATAGAAGCACTTGAACACACATCTGACGGTTTTGATGAAGCACTTCACGAAGTACAGGAAGATGTTGACAGCATAAGAGCGACCACAGGTACCTGCTTTTAAGTTCAATTTAAACATTTCATAATGATGGGGTGTGTGGAAATATACAGATAATTCATATTAATGTTTTGAATTGCAGAATCTGATAGATTGTTAATAAAATGCAAAACGACTAACAGTCGCATTTGCCATGTTTGAAACATTATGTAGAGGTTTTTATGAGTTGGTTTTAGCTACCATTTTGTTGGTATTAGGGGCCATTGCTCTAAAATGCAAGTTTAAGCACCTTATTTTTTTTTTAAATATTATACGTAATAGTTGATTGCCTCTACGATTGATGAGGAATGAATTTCGAAAAGTCCCATTTTATGCATCAATCTAAAATTAATTTCGTGTAGTAGTTTACTTTATCTATCTAGACACAATTAATTTAACACTGATATTCTAGTACATGGATATTTGTGAATAAATAAAAACAAGAACTAAACATTGAAGGTTATTGATGCTGTATATCATATTTGTTTTGTACATAAATCACAAAAATAACAAAAATTAAAAAAAAAGTCAGCTTGTTATTATAACAACCCTCCAATCGTGCCCTGTCTGGCATTCTGTCAGTTGATCTGATTTCTGTCTGTTTGTTCATCCTGTCGTCTGTATGTAAATTCTATATTAATATTTGGGAGTGATTAAGATTATGTTACAAAAATCGCAAATTTTGAAATAAATCTTTTTTTGCTTTCATTGCAACAACATTTAAATGTAGGTTATAATGCATGTAAAAAAATTATATCGAAACGTTACTTTTTTTTACATTAATTTAAAGAGAGAATTGGTGTAAAAACTGAGTTTTGTTAAAAATTCTCAAATTTTGAGAAGCATCTGATATTCTTATGTGCTAGGATTTAAAAATAGGATTTAAAAAAAAATATAGGTGTGATCAGGTAGGATTTATGGTTGGGTATAATATATTCTTCTTTATTGATTCTCCGTGTTAAATATGGGGTGAATTTGAGAAAACAGGATGTTACCGATATTCAAATCTCAAAAATCTATTTAGAAGAAACAGAATAAGGTCAGTGGGTATATTTTGTTAAGAATAAAAAAAAAATATGTTTCTTGATTAACTTTTTCAGGAACATTCTAGACCAATGTTGTTTTGTTGTTTTTTTTAATGCAAGGAACAACAAACAATCCTTAAAATATTACATGTCTAGTTAAGGTGAAGTAAGATAAACATTTAACTATTCTCTCATTCGATAAAACAATAAGATTCACCATGATAATTAATTTTGAAGAATTTGAAAAATTAACTTTCTCGAATGGATAGACATCGAATCACACTTGATAAAGTGGTCGACTCTATATATACAGCATAACGTTTATTGTCATACCATGGCTATGCTACTTCGTTGTACTTAGAACGAGCTTCAGCTTTAAACACAAACATTGTAAGATAAGTATAATAGGTGCAATGGTTGAATAACGATAAAAACATGGCCGTTTTTGGCCCCAACCCCAAATTTCATTTAATTTGTCATGTTGTAACTATATACCACAGACATTCTGAAAATGTTTGCATTTTGGGTTCATCTCGTATATTCTGTTGCCTAGGAACCTGTTTAATGGTGGCCATAAACTCATTTAATACGCATTTGATGTTGGATGTGTACTGATTTATATTTTAGTCTTAGATACATGAGTTTTGTTTTAGTAGTTGCTATTAGCTTTGAACCAGTTGTTAGTAACTGTACTCTCAGGTTTGTACTTATTGTCTTTTTGTATACATACAAGTGAGAGGTTTAGCTAGCTATAAAACCAGGTTTAATCCCTCTACATAAGAACATGCCTGTACCAAGTCAGGAATATGACAGTTGTTATCCTTTTATTTGATGTGTTTTAGCTTTTGATTTTGCCATTTGCTTAAGGACTTTCCGTTTAGAATTTTCCTCGGAATTCGTTATTTTTGTTATTTTACTTTTTGTTGTTAGGTGTGAGGGATGGATATATACCTGTCACTTCCTGTCTGTGTTTTTGTTTGATGTTTTTGTTTGAATCGATCTGATGAGTTAAGCCTTTTTCAACTGATTTTTATATTCTGTTCTTATGTTGTGCTCCTACGATATACACCACCGTCCCAGGTTAGGGGAGGGTAGAGCGTTCACAAGCATTTGTAACCCCGCCACATGATTTATTTGCCTATCCCAAGACAGGAGCCTGTAGTTCAGTGGTTGTCGTTGGTTCATGTTTCGTATATTTGTTTTTCGTAAATTTCAAAAATATGCCCATAGCAACGGCAAGTTGTTTTCTATTTTACAAGATTCAACTTTCATATGTTGAAACAAAAAGATTATTTACGATGAACATTGTAAAAAGTACTAAACTTCAAGGAAAATGTCAAGTATAAAAACCAATGCCCAAAATTATCAACAAACAAAACAGACAAACAACTGTAATTCTGCAAGAAATTGCGGTAACAAAATGCACTTGTAGAGCACCTTTGTGGAGAACAGAAATGTAACATTGATCTTATTGTGAAATTGCTCCTTATTTCATCTGCTTAAAGAATTAATACATGCACACTTTATATATTATTTTCAGTATACCCAGTATTGATGAATATACAGATTTTGTGTAATTTTACAGTTAAAGCATAATAACTCCATATTGCAACTTTCTCTCTTTCGACCTATTTCTTTGTCAACATGTTTATGCTATCCACTATATTATCGAATCTTAATGGAAATTTAAAAGAAGAAACATTTTTTTGTGTCGGATACTGTTTATTTCTTTAATTCTGTACCTGTCGAATCCGTTGCCCATTTATGTCAAATAATGATACATGTTTTGGTTATGATTCAAAGATCTGTTAGCAAACAGAAATGTGAACATCTGGATGACGAAACCATGAACATATAAGGTTTACCTACTATCTTGTAACTTGCCCAATATTTAAGTACACATCTCTTTATTATGTTTATCAATATTGACTCATGAAAACTTATTACACCATTCTCTATATATCTTTTAACATAAATGTCTATCTTGAAATTTTACACATTTTGTTTAAAACTTGTGTTTTAGTCTCATCCTTAAGTAACAAATTCAAATAACACATCATTAACCAAAGAATACTTAAACTCTTGATAGTCTTAGATACATGGGTTTTGTTTTAGTAGTTGCTATTAGCTTTGAACCAGTTGTTAGTAACTGTACTCTCGGGTCTGTACTTATTGTCTTTTTGTATACATACAAGTGAGAGGTTTAGCTAGCTATAAAACCAGGTTTAATCCCCCTACATAAGAAAATGTCTGTACCAAGTCAGGAATATGACAGTTGTTATCCTTTTATTTGATGTGTTTTAGCTTTTGATTTTGCCATTTGCTTAAGGACTTTCCGTTTAGAATTTTCCTCGGAATTCGTTATTTTTGTTATTTTACTTTTTGTTGTTTGGGGTGAGGGATGGATATATACCCTGACACGTCCTGTCTGTGTTTTTGTTTGATGTTTTTGTTTGTATCAATCTGGTGAGTTAAGCCTTTTTCAACTGATTTTTATATTCTGTTCTTATGTTGTGCTCCTACGATATACACCACCGTCCCAGGTTACGGGAGGGTAGAGCGCTCACAAGCATTTTTAACCCCGCCACATGATTTATTTGCCTATCCCAAGTCAGGAGCCTGTAGCTCAGTGGTTGTCGTTGGTTCATGTTTCGTATATTTGTTTTTCGTAAATTGTTTTGTTATAAATAAGGTCGTTACAATTCTCATTTGAATTGTTTCATATTTTTCATGTCAAGGCGTTTTATAGCCATTTATATGGGATAGGTTTTTTTTTATCATTGTTGAAGGTCGTACGGTTGCCTATAATTGCTTGCATCCGCTTTATTTGAACTTCGGTAGGTAGTTGTCTCATGTCAATCATACTACATCTCCTTATTTGTATACATCTTTGATCTCTTTATATTTAAAATTCAATCGGTTTAACATGCAGTAAATTAATGCAGTAAATTATACATTCATACACTATTTAAATTTAAATCAATTAACTGCAGATTTTTGGGCGAAATTGTTGTAACTTATTCCTAGCAACAACAATATGCCCATAGCAACGGCAAGTTGTTTTCTATTTTACAAGATTCAACTTTCATATGTTGAAACAAAAAGATTATTTACGATGCACATTGTAAAAAGTACTAAACTTCAAGGAAAATGTCAAGTATAAAAACCAATGCCCAAAATTATCAACAAACAAAACAGACAAACAACTGTAATTCTGCAAGAAATTGCGGTAACAAAATGCACTTGTAGAGCACCTTTGTGGAGAACAGAAATGTAACATTGATCTTATTGTGAAATTGCTCCTTATTTCATCTGCTTAAAGAATTAATACATGCACACTTTATATATTATTTTCAGTATACCCAGTATTGATGAATATACAGATTTTGTGTAATTTTACAGTTAAAGCATAATAACTCCATATTGCAACTTTCTCTCTTTCGACCTATTTCTTTGTCAACATGTTTATGCTATCCACTATATTATCGAATCTTAATGGACATTTAATAGAAGAAACATTTTTTTTGTGTCGGATACTGTTTATTTCTTTAATTGTGTATAAGTCGAATCCGTTGCCCATTTATGTCAAATAATGATACATGTTTCGGTTATGATTCAAAGATCTGTTAGCAAACAGAAATGTGAACATCTGGATGACGAAACCATGAACATATAAGGTTTACCTACTATCTTGTAACTTGCCTAACATTTAAGTACACATCTCTTTATTATTTTTTATCAATATTGACTGATGAAAACTTATTGCACCATTCTCTATATATCTTTTAACATAATGTATATCTTGAAATTTTACACATTTTGTTTAACACTTGTGTTTTAGTCTCATCCTTAAGTAACAAATTCAAATAACACATCATTAACCAAAAAATACTAAAACTCTTGATACCCAGAGGTGAAATAAAATATAAATCTCATGTTTCTCGCGATTTATATAAATCTTTAGCATAAAATTGTTCATATCCTTTTTCGGTATATTCTATTCTGTTTTGTGGAACCACCTCCTCCCACACACTTCCCTTTTTTAAATCCTGGATCAATCCCTTATACCAAAGAAGATATTGCCCATTTCGAACACCAAATTTTGAATTGAGATTAACCGAAACATTAGAAATGATCAGATTTTGTTATGTTATATGTCTATCTTTTAGTTGAAGTAAATATAATGTTTTCAAAAAATCAGCTGTTTTCCTTGAAATAACATGTATCCTTGAATCCCTTACAATATGTTGTTCATTGTTTTCTTTAAAATAAAAATAGATATACTTACGAAAATTATAATAGAAATGTATGCTTCAGATTCATAAGTGAAAAGGTCAAATGCATATAGACATTAGCATGTATAAATTAAACATTGTCAGAAGAATTGGTGGCATTTTATAGTCAAACTTCTGTGTTTAATAGACCATTTCCATATTACCGACTTATGAATTTGTATTATATGATTTGTCGACAGGTTACTTACTTTGTAGTAGGACATCCCTGTACTTTGACAGGTTAGAGCAACACAAAGAAATAAAACTAAATATATAATCGGTGCAATTTGGTGGGAAAGTTTACTGCTTTCCGATGATTTTTGTCGTGTACAGAAAAGATAAAACAGTTAATTTTGCCACAAAATTGTACCGACTGAAAGCTTTATTTTACTTCTTTGCGTTGCTTTTACTTGACCAAGTACCAAGATGTCCTACCACATAGTTGGTAACCTCTCGATAAGTCTAAAATTCCGGAGTCAAAATTCAGTGATATGAAAATAGTCTATTGCTCTGCTTGGCTATGAAAAAGTATAAAATAAACTATCGCACCAACCTTGCACCAACAAGATTTTTGATTCTGAAGGTTGATATGTATGAAGTAAATGTTAAAATTTCAATTTGGTGCAAGCATGGTGCCGTGGTAAAACATAAAATAAAACCACTCCAAGTTCTTTTTTTGTCATATTTTCCCGATTAGGACGTCATTTACGCTCACCATTTTGACGTCATTAAACATGTTTTGTTATATAAAAACAGTGTTATGAAATCTTTTACTCTAGTTCTGATGACTAATGGTAAAAAAGATGATCAGTTTGACTTTTTATTAATTTGTAAATATAGGGCCATTTTGGGCCATGTAAGCCCCTACTCCTGTTTGTACGGTCGATTTTACTTGAAAAAAAATAGTTAAAAATCACATTGGCAGTATAGTATTGTAGATTATCTATTTATTTTCAGAATGCATAAAGGCAGAAATAAAAAAACAAGATGAAGATCATATTCCGAAGAACATTCGAGGTATGCTTATTTTCTTAATTGTCATGAAACCTCATTGTAAACTACATGTGAATAATATGTATTTTTCTGTCATGAATTATCTCAACTAGCATAACACCGACAATTTTGACTAAAAGCAATCATCATTTATCATGTTGTGAACTATATCACATGTATATATAGCATATCCTGTTTCTACAGACTTACAAGTATCTTTTCTTTTATACAAACAAAAGAAAGCAATAGAAGCATAATTGATTTTCATGCCCGCCTTTATAAGTAGAAAACACTATGTAGATTTATTGTTGACAATTATCAATTTCTAAAATACAAAAAAAAAAAAAAAAAAAAAAAGAATTACTGGGAAAGTAAGTTGATATACCAAACATATTTAATACAGATAATTGAGCAATATATATTATACTGAAATAGGGTGTTACTTAGACTGGTATATCATGTGTATATGTGACTTATTAAATAATAAACTTAAAAAAAAATGTCAATGCTTCATTGCGAAGGGAATGCACTGTTACGATTTTGAATTTATTTACGCATTCAATAATCCATGCACATGATTCATATTAAAGTTTACAAAACATATTTTAAATGATTATGTTTCTTACTTTAGAATGTTATAAATTGTAAACATTTTTTTTATACAAATAAGAAGATATGATATGATTGCCAATGAGACCACTTTTCAGAAAAGACAAAATAACCAACAAGCAAATATTTTTGTTCGGTTTTGATGACGATGAAACAACATGCGATTCGGCCAAAAAGGGAAGTTATTTTTTAACTTTGAAAAAATCTGCATGTGTCTGGTCTGATTTTTTTTCTTTTTGTTATGTATATATTTTGTTTATCTACAGTTGAATGGCTTATAAAGGTTTAGACTGTTTTATACATAACTAGTAATTTCATTTTCTTACGAACGAGTCCTCTGTAAGATAATGACCCATTACGACTGTTATTTCTAATGTTTTCCAAATGATGTTCTTCAACATTTTGCCACAAATACATCTTGATGTGTACACTAACTGTTTTCGTGTCTAATAGAAATCAGATGAAGATCAGGAATCTGGGTAGGTTTTTATCTGCTAGTATTTGCCTATATATATGACGACGTCACATTGTGTACTATGATCTGTGCATCTTTGTCTGTTCCCTATCACTGATACAATTTTTGGTACAGAATGGTTTGGTAATTCGCCATGAAGTTATTGAAGGTCTTTCCACTTGAGATGAGACTAATGTTTTGATAAGAAAAATAGAAAAGGTAAAAATGAATACTAATAGTATGAATAAACATGTAGCCAAAACACTTTTTTTTAAAATAAATATAAATTTACTTGTAACAAAAATATAAGAGTTTATCAGCTACTTTTGGTTTCAAAAAAATCACTTTCAATGTCATATGAAAGATCATTTTAAACTGATTTGAAAATATTTAGTTGCTACGGACTTTTCTGTGAAATAAGGAATATAATACGCAACTTCCGGTTTACCGGTGTCATTAAAAAACTCAATATACAATAATTAAAAAAAAAATATGGTTCTATATAGTTTTGCGTGAAATAAGGGTGATCATGTTCTTTTCCTGGGTAAGAAAATGTCGACTCCGGTACCATATATTAATTTTTCTTTGGTTTATTACATATTTGATTTATATGTACTTTCACTTAGCATATGAGAGATAATCAACCACAAGCCATAAGATAGCTTACTTTACACCGATTAAAAAAAATTATGGTTTCTATGCACTTTGGCTTAACAGAAGGGAGATATATTACCACCTTCGGTTTACAAACGGTCACATCCGGTGCCATAAAATAACTTACTTTACACTGATCTTAAAAAGATATGGTTTGTATGTACTGTTCTTCCAAATAAGGAAATATTTAGCTACAACCTGTTAAAAAAAGGTTTGCTTCCGGTGTCATTTGAAGGTTAATATATTTCAAGGTCATATGTCACCCAATCTATTTTAAACAACTACATGAGTTAAGTATGTGCCAGGATGAGGTAATAATCAACTAAGGCTGAAGTTCTTAATTTCAAAAGCAAATCTCATATATGCATCATATCGTGTTAAACCGAATATACCATGTCTTCTGATCAATAACCCAATCATTTTGCATCTAGTCTTCTTTACCTACTTTTTAGAGTTTGAGAGGTGATGCACACATAAGCAAAGGAATACATTTAGAACATGACCTTGACCTATGACCCTAGCCTTATCTTTTTTTGTGGATTAAGGACATCAAATTAAGATAACCTAGGTCACTTTCACTTACGGTACACGAGTTACATTTGTATATCAATTATATCAAAAAAACAAAAGGGGAAATAACTATCATATGGAGTCTCAGTATCGCTTTGATAAAAATGGAAAGGCGCACCACCATGAGGATTTAACGAGCAATTTGGAAAAATAAATATGTCGATTTCGTTTACGGTTGTGAAGGAGATGTGTACACAGTGTCGGGGAGATTACTCTTACAAAGACAATTGTTAGGTTCTGTAAGGTCAAATAACTAACAGACACAACTGTACGATAACAAAAACCAAATATCTCAGCGACATGTTGTGAAACAATATTGCATGCAAGAAATAAGTTTGGCGGAAAAAAAATAATAATCGAAACAAAATACCAAGGTCTTTCAACTAAGAGTGGATAAATCTAATGAGATGTTGAATGTTTTCCAAGGATACACCAAGGTGTTGCCACAAGCGACTTCAGTAAATGGATGTAAACAGCTAGAAGATGTATCGTTCATTGTACAACCTTAAACAATAAGCAAAACCCATACATTGTCGTAAGTTATGAAATACTCCGAGATGTTGAAATGTAAAATAATTAAAATTAGAAAACTAACGGACTGATTCATGAAAAAACAGTAACAAAAAGTCAAAAATATAGCAGACAGAAACCAACGACAACAACTGAATCGTATGCTACCGACTTTAGACATGCCCATCAAGAGTACTGTGAAGATCACATATAATTGTGAGGTCCAAAACCCTTCCTTAGATGATTCATAACAGTACAAGAACATGTTTGCTATTAAAGGGGCGCAATTGGTGCCCATAGGAATACCTACAACCTGTCGATAGACTTGATTGCCGAAACGTGCATAAATATTACCAAGGAAAAAAATTAGCAGCTGCCATCATCTCATCACGCCTCTAGTAAGAAAATCTAGTATAATTACCTCTTTCATTAGAGAAGATGGCTTTAAAAGAGTTGCAGCAAATCTATTGGCATTCAGATTTACCAAACAACCATTTAGTTAATTAGGAAAACTCTTGTTTGATAAGATTGTGTGGGTGTGTTGTGTAATGAGTTGAAAAGTAAAAATTGTAAACAGAATCAAAATGACCATCAAAAGCACGTAATTTATCTAAAACGTTCAAAGATTTTTTTACTCTCCAAAAATAGTCAATTCCACTATTTTCATATATTGCATTACAAAAGTTAATGATAAGTTCTTTGATAATAGTTTAGGAACCTAGTAAAAGCACTGAAAGATTAGTTGAAGAACACTTACTTGAGGCCGAGATAAAACGATATGTTATTGTTTTTTTTGTGTAGTTTAGGTTACCAATAGATAGTAGGGACCTTCAAATGTTTAGAAGAGGCCTTCAGCTGTGCTGTGGTTATAGTACGTTTGTTAACTATATGACTCACTGTGGAACACACAGACTTGAATGTAGAAGAATTTAAAATTTCAATCTTCAAGGACGTTCGTGCAGTATTTATGGCATACCGCCACCACATTGTAGGCTGCTTTGTCGGCAGTTACAAACACTAACCGCTTTGAAAGTACTTGTAGTTTGTTTCTTATTCTAGAAATAGGCGTATTATGTACCCTTTTTATTTATTTATGAATTATTTTTAAAATGTGATATTCGAATATCTACAACATTCATACAATTGTTTAAATAAGAATCCAGAGATTGTTTATCAGATTTTTTCCGTTTACACCAATTTTTACAATACAATTAAAGAGCGTTTTTGTGACCTGACGACACTGTTTCCAATCTATTTAAGATGGAGGACGATATTTTGGTCCTTTTTTTTTAAATTGTTTAACCTCTCGGTCTTGAACGATATTGAGGTCCCCAATGATAACATTGCCATAGGGATCATATCTTTAATTCGACGATTTAGTCTCAAGTTAGAGGACTATTATTTTCTATATGACGTCTGATGTTACCGACGTATAATTAAAAAGTAATCTTATGCTGTTTTTGTTTTTGTTTTTGTTTTTTTTGGTATGTATACGAAATGATAGGTGGTTCTGTGTTATCAACATAGGGAGGTATAAAGTCTTGAACGGTAGAGTCATTAAATATTCTCGATAAGTTAATGAAATCAATACCTCCGTTAATATATGTAATTTTCAGAAAGTGCCGTATATGATCTCAAGGTTTATCGACACGCGGGAACAGCCTATGGTGGCAACAAACTGTAATTATACCCGAATATTCATAGGGTGGGCTGAAAAACGAGATTGTGTCACACTCTTTGAAAATATGATGTAATTTATTAATTGATATTTTACCCAGTTTACATAATAATTGATGCCTACCATTGTTTTTAAAAAGAGATGTTCAATTCGTTGATTTAGATTGATACGTTTGTCATGAGACCTATTATTACGTTGTCTTTTATCAACAATATTCATGATATCAATAGAAGAAGTTTTAGATATGTTCCCTGGTCCCAATATATTGTCATTTAGACCCCGGGGATATGCTATCAGCAGTCGTTTAATCCAAGACAATTCGATAATTAAAATTTCATTTTTAATGCAACCACTCAGCATACGGCTAAATCATATACCATTCGAAAGCACATCATCTATACTATCTTTTTTGCCGGGTGGTCAAATATTCGTATGGTGCACTTACCGTCAAATCACGATGAAAGGTCAAGGACAGACAATTTCTAACTTTATGTCAGCATTTTTGCATATTCTGTCTTCTGAATAATAATATTGTCTATGGACATATGA